AACCAAAAAATAGTTCACATTTGCCTGTGAACAAAGAAAAAGTGCAATAAACTGCTTTCATAGGTGTTATGGGTTGAACTGCCTCTCCACCCCCTCAAAAAAAAGATATATTGTAGTCCTAATCTCTAGCATCTAAGAATGTGAAACTATTTAGACATAGGGTCTTTACAGAGGTAATAAGGTTAAAAGAAGGTCATTAGTATGAGACCTAATCAATACAACTGGTGTCCTTATAAAGGAGAAATTTGGACACAGAGACTGACACATAGAGAGGGAAGACAATGTGAAGAGATGCAAGGAGACCACCATTTACAAGCCAAAGAATACCGGAGGTGAGCACAAGCTAGGAGAGAGGCTTGAAGAGCCCTCAGAAGATACTAACCCTATTGACACCTTAATTTTGAACTTTTAGCCTCTAGAATTGTGACAATAAATTTCTGTTGTTTAAGCCACCTGGTTCATGGTACTTCATTATGAGAGCCCTAAGAAACTAACATAACATGTGGCCAAGAAGAACAAAAGGAGCTCAGCGGTAGGAGGTCAAGAGTGAACTCTGCCTCTCTGCTTCATCCTGTACCTTTAGATTTTACCACAGTGTCTGGAAAAGAGCAATGAATGAATGAATGAGATAATGAGTGAATGCAGGCAAGAATAAATTAAAAAATGAACAAACCTATCTGAGAGGGATTTAAACTGGAATTTTAGAGTAAGCAGCCGGAATGACAAGATAAAAAGACACCAAGAAAGGTACTGAATTATTAAGAAAAACCAGAGAATGTTCAATATGTCCCAGAAGAGACTAATAAAGTATAAAAACTGTACAGTACAGAGGCTAACATTCTAATTCTGGCCAGGCTATCAGTTTATTAAGGAACCGTGATAAAGTCACCAGCCTACTCGGGGCTTTGTTCTTCATCTATAAGCTGGCTGGACAGTCTAACAGCTAAATATCATTCAACTTGTGTTCAGTGTTTCAGATGTCTATACAAAAATAAAGAAAGCGGAATTGACACTTTAAGCAAAGGAGATATCAGTTTAGAGTATCAACAGGACTTGCTAGGAACAGGTCTAGAATCATGGCAATGAAAAGGTACGCAGAGTCTTTTATTAGATGCTTTATCCCATTGCTTCTATGCTTATACTCCTCCCCTTAATACATTTGCTAAATAAATATTAAGGGCCTACTTTGTGCCAGGCGCTGTTCTAGACATGGGACTACAGCAGAAAATGAAGCAAAACTCCTGCTCCTGTCGAGGTTATGTTCTACTGGAGAAGAAAGATGACATTTGATACATATATATATATATATAAATATATAATATGTTCATAAGTAATATATACAGATTTAGAGGGTGCAGGGATGAGGACTCATGGTGAGAGACAGAATTATTTAGAGAACGAGGTAAGGAGAACCGCTTCTGTGGAAGTGAAATTTAAGCAGAAACCTGTACACAGGAGTGAGCAAGGCAAAGATCTCGGGAGAGAGAGATCTCAGCATGGGTCCTGGGTGGGGATGAGGTGGGCACATCCCAAGAACAGCAAGGTCAGCAGGTGCAGCCAAGCGAGAAGGGGACGCAAATGTGGGGTGTGATGGATGAGGTTGTGAGACAGACAGAGACCAGACCATATGGGTCCTTGTTAAGAAATTTCTAGTATATTCTGAATTTGATGAGAATCTACTGGAGAGCTTAAACTATGGGGTGTGTGACATAATCTGAGGTAGATTTTAGATCACCCTAGGTGCAGTTAGAGAATTGACTGTAAGGCAGGCAAGACTGGAGGGAGTCCAGGGGCTAGTGCACAGTGTAAATCTAAAAAGATGGTTGCTTTGGTCTGGGCTCCCTATAGCCAAGGGAAATAAATCCAAACTCGAACTAGGCAAATCCGATCCCCTCTGACCTGTTCCTTACTTACCTTTCCAGTTCATTTACAGTAAACCTTTCTCCTCCTCTTTGCTTTATGTCTGTTCAGCAATATGAACCTTTGCACATTCTGTTCCCTCTATTTAGAATGACCTCTATTTTTCTCTTCATGGTCCAGTAGAAATGTCACCTTCATGTTTCAGAACCTTCTCTTTGAAACATTTCCTCCTCTTCCAGGAAGAGGAGATCTTACCACAGAATCTTATATAGTATAAAACTGATCTTTCATGCTGTATTTAAAGTGTTACTATGCTGTCTCAATGCTTATTGAATGGTGTGATTTTTTCTCAACTTTATTGGTCTGAGAAAATTAACAATGTGTAAATTACTGAGCCAAATTTCTTAATTAAACTCACGTGACTATCCTTACAGTACAACTAATATCACCCCATTAATTAAGAAATTAATTTAATTTAGTTTAAAATACACTCAAAGCATGTATAGAAATTTGCAAATAAATAAATTATAAAATTCACCTCTTAGAATCTAAGTTTCTAAAATGCTAAAAACATTGCCTGTATATGAAATGGTCTACCTTGTGCGTGAAATAAAACAACATCTTTGAATCTGTATACAATTATTCCATATTAAAGCATGCACTGAGTTTGACCAACTAGAAAAAGAAACTATTGAATTGTGGTCCAAGGCTAAATACACTTAGGATTTTTCAGGCTCAGAGTATTATTGAGTAATACACTCAACTTCTTTTATTATTAGGTGGTTAATCAATATTACTGGTACAATCAGTAATACAACCCATACAACCCATTGTATCTTTTATTTCACACTTGCATATATGAAGTAAAACCTGTGAGGAAAAAATATTGACAACTTAAATCTCTTCTTTAACTGAGTTCCTTTGAATTAAGGGCACAGGGCCATATATTAACTAAATGATCAATCTATCAACTGGAAAAGGCTTTCTTTCTAATGACTGAAACCTTGATTATTACTTTAAAATACTGTCAAAAGACACATTTTCAAAGTTTTCCAAGTAATTTTTGGGTGAATTCAAACAAATACTTATATAACATAACTCAGTTAAAAATCGCTTCTCACAAGAGATTTAATTCTAGAAACAAAGCCATAGATAAAATAATTCTATGGAAACTGAATTAAATCTCAATGCACCAGTGGTTCCCTGACTCAATAGTTATGACCTCTGTCCTCTACATGAAGACAGTTTTACTTGTAGAATATACTATTTGAGGAAGTACATAATAACAAAATGCCACTCTGAAACTAGAAAACTTAGACACAAATTTGAAACTTATTAATATGACTATTGATATGTCTGTATACCTATACATAGACTTACAGTCATATATAATGGCATATTTTTCAGCCCACAATCAATGTTTAACACATACGGGTCAGTGGTAATATAGCAATATCTCCGAAAAACCTATTTAGAAGCTTCAGGGTTTGAAAACCCAGAGTTCAGAAACCAGTGCATTATGGGAACTTTTAATTTGAACATAAATCTTGTTTTAAATTGAACTATGCTATTTCTCAATAATCTTCTAAAGAGTTATATATTAGATTTTCTTAAGCAAGATATATTTGCTTTTATAGCTGATTAATAACATTTCTTATTCCCAGCTATAGAGATCTTCACTAACGTGTTCAATAGATCTAGATATGTTCTTTTTCCCCTTGAAGCATAATTATACGCTATTTCATTATTTAAATAATTAATCTCTATTATTCGAAGAAACATAAAAATTTCAATATTCAAAGAAACAAAAAAACACAAAATTCTCTTTGCTTCTGTAAGCATCAGAACTAAGGCTTACCTAAGCTTCGGTTAAGGAAGTTGCCAGAAAAAAAATACAGCCATGCATCACTTAACAATGGGTATACATTCTGAGAAATGCATCGTTGTACAATTTCGTCCTTGTGCATAGAGGGTAATTATTTAAACCTCGATGGTATAGCCTACTACACACCTAGGCTATATGGTACAAATCTTATGGGATCATCCTTTTACATGCGGTCCATCGTTGACCAAAAGGTCGTTACGTGGTGCATGACTGTAAGTATGAATGAACAATAAAGATTGTATTACACTGTCATCTGCCTGCCCTAGAAAAGCTCTCTTTTGAACAGCAAATGTTCTAAGCCCTTTTATGAAAACATTCTGGCTGGAGGAAGAAGATCCTGATTAGATGACCTTCAAGGACTCTCCCACTAAAGAAGTCCAGTCTCTATGGGTCTAAATTTATGGTCATCCTTTGCCTTATCTTTTTATGTTCAATGCTTATTCCATCATACTTGAATACAAATATCAATTAAATCACTGAAACCGCAGTCTACAGTTGACACTTAGGAGATTTCAAGATTAGAATAAAACTTTAATCTCAATAATCCATAAAATAATAAACTTCTTTCTCATTTTGCCTCACATAACATGTTTCTTTTTTTGGTATTTTGAAGTGATGTATACTTTTCTATTTTTTCCCCAAATTTCAAATGAAATAGTCCTCAGGGAAATTTAGTATTAGCTTTCTAAGGTAGCAGGAGCCTTATTGCCTCCTAAGTCTGCAAACACATCGTTCACATCAATTTATCTATTGTCTTCTAACTGAAAAGAATCACTCTTACCGTGTAGCCCTCGGTATACTGAAAAGGAGCCCTGGAAATTTCATCTGCTGTTGGACTCAGAGGCTTGGGGTCAGACATGGACCGCTGCATCATCTTGGCTGTTTTAGGACTTGCTGGGGGAACTTTAGCCATATCTGGGTGCAGTACTTTCTGTGGACTTATATCATCAGGGAGGGGTTTTTCATAAGGTACAAAGGCAGATTCTAAGGCTTTGCCTGGTGAAAGTGGTGAGATGGGTGAATAAAGGACCTTTGGAGATTTGGGTGGGGAAGGAGCCAGCTGTACTGTGGAATCTGCCCGAAGGTGAGTTGAATAACCAATCTCTAAAGGTGTTGGGCGTTTCTTGTCTTTGGGTGGAGATGTGGCACTCAGATATTGAGGACTTTGTGTGTCTGAATCTGCTTCTGTCTGACATCCTAAACTTCCCCCTTTGTAAGTCTTTTCAGGTGCTGAAATGTGTTTAATTATTTCTACCTTGGCATCCATGCGTGCCCGTACTGAAGGTGTTCTTATGGTTCCAACTGGTTCAGTTTGCACAGATATCTCTGCTACGGTTTGAACTGCTATACTGGAGACTTTGGAAAGGGGTTTGGTCTTGTCAGCCTCTGTAGTGCTGTCACCATATTTCCCTACACGAGCTTTTCTCCTTGATCTAGTAGGCATATCCCATTCATCCTGATCTTCATCATCAGTTTGGACACTTGTATCGACACTCTTTTTAGTTCTCCTCCTCCTACTCACATAACTCCGATCTGCTGCATCTTCATCATCAGTTTGTACACCACTGTCCATTATCTTTTTAAAGCAGTGAGGATCATCTGCCATATTTTCCCCCATCTCATCGTACTGTCCACGGACTTTAGCTCCAGAACTTCTCTTTTTGGGTTGTTTTTCGTCTTTTACAACAACATCTGCTAGAGGTATTTCTGAAACAGTACTCAGGATGCCAGGTGGGGCAATGTACTGAGTAACACCGTCAGACTGAACTGTGTACCATCCTTGGTTTTGTGGTATTTCAATTGCCACAACAGCTGAGGCTGTGGTGGTTGTATCTTCAGTTGCCCAAAACTGACTGCCTTCTGGGGCAGCATACTGACCTTCCAAAATTGCTTGCTCAGTAGTGGTTTGTGGAGAAGCAGTTCCAGAAGGATCATAGTTATACTGGTAGATCTGGCGAATCTTTTGCTCCTCCAGCTGCTGGTGAAGCTGTTGCTGCAGCTGTTGGATCTGCTCAAGCTGTAACTGTTGCTGAGCTAATGTTTCCTGCCTCATCATGAACTGGGCTTGACGTTCTTCTTCTTGCTGATAGAGAAGGTGCTGTTTCATAGACTGCAGCTCCTCCAGCTTTTTTTGAACCATGATCTTTTCTTGTTCTCGGAACCTTTGAATTTCCTGACGTTCCCACTCTAATTCCTCAGCAAAACGCTGCTGCTTAATTTTTTCCAGTTCCAAGAGCTCACGCTCCAAGTCCAGCTGCTGTTGTTGTTTATCTTCTTCAGGGACAATTAAAATACTACTGTCATCCCCCACCACTTCAGAAAACACTTCGGATGCTGTGGTTAAAGTGGGAACTGAGTCTACTGTCTCAGCAGCAAGAGTCTCCATAGTAATGGTTTGCAAACTGGCACTGATATCAATACCAGTTACTGTAATGTCCATTTCAGATGCACCTGTTGTTAGGAAATATGATCTAGGCATTGGCTGGCTCTGGTGCAGGGCGGATAATGAAGTCACTGTGTCAGTTGTGTGCACACCAGACAAATCCCTCACAGAGGTGCTGAAAATGGAGCCAGGTTGTGTGGTGATAGCAAATGTGGAGGGAATTGGAGTTGCTACTGAAGAATAGACAACACCATTAGATGACCTCAAAACATTCCCCACACCATACTGGGATCCTGGAGGTGGAGTCATTCTTGCTGTGGAATACTGTGGGGTACTAATCCCAACTCCTGAAATGACTTGTCGTGTCTCTGGATATGGACCTGTAGTCTTGCTTGAATAATCCATTACCTCACCTGAAATACAGGGTAGAGTTACAGTCCAGTTTCCAGAATGAAGGATGCTTTTTTGGGTTTGAAAGCCCTCTCAATCTTGACAAACACAATGAATAGGACTGCATGCAAATCCACAGGCTAACCTAATTTGATGCATAATAAAAGCAATGTTGAACATGCAGGCACATACAGACGATTTTGGGCAGAACAAATTAAAAAAATGAAGAAACAAAAGTGCACATGTACTCCAAAATACGTTGCCAAAACATCCAAAGAAAGAGAAAAAATAATAAAATTGGAAAAGGGGCCGCATTTTCATCCTGAAATGAGATGAGGAACACCATAATGATATTTCAAGGAAAGGTCTGCTGCCACATCATACTGACCTGTAGCAATTCTCCCTGAAGTTAGATCTACTGCTGCATCAGCTCCTCCAGAATAATCAAAAGCATTCTTACTTTTATAAAAGAAATGTCCAGCTTCTGCTAAATTAGTGTCAGACATGGAAGATTTCATTCCCCCAATCCCTCTATAACCATAAGGCCCTGATCGATCATATTGATAGTGGTCATCTCTATAACCAAAACGGTCCTCAGGAAGTGTAGTTGCAGGCTGCTGTGCTGTGCAGCTCCTTCCAAAAGGTAACTTATAAACCATATCACAGCACACGGCCCTTCTTCCTGCAGTCAGATCAACAGGTTTTTCATCATCTTCTATTATTTTGGTCACCACACTTGAAGTAGACTCATCCATTGTTACAACAGTTCTCTGAGACTTTGTTGTACTGAGATCCACTACTTCCCCATCAGTGATCCCCTGGCATGTGGTGCTATCAGTCCATCCACTTGTGACACCAACAGGAGGTGCAGTAACAGGTTTTGTAATAGCTAATGTCATTGCATGTGCTGAAGTACCTAAAGATAAGTTTATTGGTGCTTCCTCCCTAACTGTAGGAAAGGCCTGGCCACTTGGTATCTTGCATGGGGGTTCAGCATGCTTTGATGCAGTAAGCTGGAGTGGTGCTGCTGTTGCATGTTCTACACCCACTAGGCTTTCTGTGCCCACAGTGTAACTTTCACTAGCTGTGCACGTGACAACAGTCACTGTCTCGGTGACCAGAGATATTGGAGTCACTACTGACGAAGTTGCACTGAGATTTATAATAGAGGGTTGCACAGCACTAATTTGTCTCCCGTAAACTTCATTTATTGTGGTCTGCCTTTTCATATCCATTGCAGAAGCAGAAAGATCCATACATTTTTCAGTTACATTAATTTCTACTTTTGATACTGTACGCAAATCAATGGCATCACCAACAAGTTGCAACTTTCCAGTTTCTTTATGCTGATGCTTCTCTAAATGTAGGTTATCTAGAGCAAGAGGCTCTGGAGGAATTGATACAGAGACACTGCTGAGACCCACACTGGGCATTAGACTTCTGGCTGCTGAAACCTCAGCCTTGGAAACTTCGGTTGTGATAAACTGTGTAACTGAAGTTGGGGCTGCTTGAAATGATGATAATGTGGTGACAGGGATAGTGGAAAATGTCTCCAAAGTGCCTGAAAGGTCAAGGCTCTGTTCTGAAGAAGTGGACCTTTCTGCAGCTGTCACAGGAGGAATTACAGAAAACACTGATTCAATGGAAATCAGATCTTTGGGAGGTGATCTCAGGGGCCAACTGGTAATTGCCTGACTACTTGAAGAATCTGTTGGAGTCCCAGGTTCAGATGGCAACGTGATAACAACGTAAGTTTCCATAAGGGATTTGGAAAATCTTGGTGAGGACTTGTTAGAGTGAGGGGAAAGTGGGGAGGTCGGGGAAGGTAATTTATAATCTGCTGAAGTCACTAAATTTAATGTCATATTTGAAGTTAAACATAGTCCTGTTGGTTTGGGGTGCGTATCTGTTGGTTTTTGTGTAGTTACTGGAAGCTGAGGAACTGCTGGTTTAGGGGCAATTGGAGGTTTGCTTGGCTCAGGTCTATGTGTAAATACAAGTCCGGATGGAATTGAAGATGGCTTAGGAGGAACAGGAGGAGGTGCAGTGGTACATATTTTTGTTACAGGTAACCCATTACTCCCTAGAAAAGCTGTGGTCTCCACTGTAGTAACAGCATCAACTAGAGGTGTTGCTGTAGTAGTTAGAGTCACTGGAGCTGTAACTGTTAACTTTCTTTTAGGATGAACAGTTGGTTTAGGTGAAGTCGGTGGAGGAAGAGGTGGGGGAGGTGGGGGAGATGGAAGGGGAGGTGGAGAAGGAGGAGGAGCAGGAGAAGGAGGAGGTTGTGCTGATGTATCCAAAGAAGAACTTCGAAAGAATGCATGAGTTCTAGTTGGAGGAGAGGAAACAGAAGGACTGTCAGAAGGCAAATGAGATGCAGGTTTTACTTGACCAAAGACCTCTCCAGATATAAAGCATGCAGTTGAAACCGGTTCCTTCATTGGAAAGGCTATTACAGAAGAAGGTGATTGATCAAACACAATTTCAGATAAGCTAATTTTTGTTAGTTCACCCTCAGACTCCTTCCTTTTATCCTTGTAAGCTTCTAAAACTTCCAAAATAATTCCATTCCCAGTTTCCTTCTTGGCTTTCTTCACTGGGTCTTTTCCAGATAGAGATAAGTCAGTGGAAATAGCTTCAGCAATTAACCCCTCGGGTTTAATTCCTACAGATTCTAGGACAGAAGGTTCCATATCAGATAAGGAAATCACAATATGATCAGCACTAGTTCTACCATCTGTTGTGGCAGTCTGATCTAAAGATATACTTATTTCTTCTGGATAGTCTATAATGCTGCCTGGAAAATATGTTGATGAAGAAATTTCCTCAGAATTTTCAAATTTAGTTACTATGTCCACAGGCTCGGTATAAACTGTGGTTATGCTATCCAGGGTAGTAATGGGTGAGGAGCTATCTGTGGTACAAACTGAAGAAACAGATGATGTAAGAGAGGGTGTGTCAGAGGGTGGGACACTTTCTGAAGGCTCAGAGTAAGTCAGAATCAGTGATTCATGGGCAATTATCTCTTGAATTTCTCTTGCATAATCGGTTACATATTCATCCTCAATTTCTCCTGTTGAAAAATGTTGAGTTATTTTAACATCTGGGATAGAGAGTGTTGCACTGCTGGTTGAATCTGTAAGAGATGTTCCTGAGAGAACACTTGATGTCAAAGATGCATCAGGCACCCTGTCAAAGTCTATGGTGGACTCTGTCATATCATCTCTGATGGGGGGCTGGGTCAGACTGCATCCAGGTATTAATTGCATCTGTTGCCTCTTCATGAGTTCTTCATAGGCAGCATCAGCATCCAATAATTTTTTTTCTTCACTGGTAGAAGTGACCATACCACCCAGATCCACTATCTCGTGGCTTTCTGGGATGATATAAGAGCTTGAAACAATGTCTTCTTGAGTCACAACAGAATGTAAGCTTTCTAACTCATAAAACTCTTTCTGGAGGTCTGTAATTTTCTGCATTGGATCTTCATAAATCTGTTCTGGAAGTCTTATTTTTTGCTCTCTCCCTCTCTGCTGCATAAATCCATTTTGATCTTCTTGCCTTGTTAGCAGACTGCCATCTACCGAACCATTATATGTGTCCTCTACTAAAGATTCATAAATATAATCCTCGATTAACATTCCACCATACAAAGGCTCTTTTTCAAAAATTTCATCTCGTTCATTTGTAGCTGGAAAAGCTTTATATTTGTGGGGTTTATGCATCATTTCTTCATACATCTCCTCAGCACTTTTTAATGCCTTTTGGCTACCTTCTTTCTGCATAATAGATTGCTCATCTGTTGGTGAGTATAAAGACACAGCTGTGGGCAATTTATAAACTTTTTGCACTTCTATTATTTTTTCTGGGCTTATTTCAAAGCCTTCTGGGTCTGACTCTATGCTAGGTGAATATTCAGAACAAGAAGATCGATGGAGCTCCTCCATTTCTGCAGCTTGACGTAATTCTTCTGTTGGAGATGCATCTTCAATGGGCGAGAGATTACTGGGTGGTGTCTTTGGTCTTTCCCTCCTTCTCTGAGCCCGAAGTTCTTCTTTGTCTTTCTTTGATTTCTTACTAGAAGTCTTTCTTTGTTGCTGTTCTAATTCTCGCTGCTTTTCTTGTTCCTTTAATAATTCTTCTTCTTCCCTCAATTCTTCCTCCTCTGAAGAATCTTCAATAGTAGGCAAAAGAGGGCCATGTGATCTGTGCCGAGCTTTGCGTTGCTGTTTGCTCTCTCCTTTTTTGTGACTTGGGCTACTGTCACTGTCCTCATCAAGTGATGACACTGATGTCGGGGATGTGCCAGGAGTGAAGCTGGAAGCATGAAGACTAGAAGATCCTTCCCCCCTTGACCTATCTTCTGGAGAGTCTGTTAGGCTTTCCATTTCTAATTCTGGCTCTTCATCAAAATACAAAGCTGTTTTTTTCTGTGACGACTCTGCAGAGTATTTGTCTGCTATTGTGCTGTTGAGTTCAATCGTTTTGAATCGACGTAGCCCTCCTCCTCCAGCAACTACAAGTTCTTCACTCTCCTGACTTTTAGTTTCTCTGTATTTAAGTTCAGGACTTTCATCAAATGTCTCATCATCTTCATCATGCCACGAATGGCGTCTCCCTGCATCATCATCAAAACTTGCACTACTTTTTCGAGTCAATCGCCTGTGTTTTCCCGGGGTTACTTTCCCTTTCCCTTTTGTTTCTTCCTTCCTCTGGCTCTCAATACTACTACTAATCTCTTTGAGCTGGTTCCTAATGAATTCATCATCTTCAGAACCAGAAGCATCTTCATCAGCACTCATTTCTATGATTTGTTTTCGAATAAAGTCCTCTTCTTCTCCTGATCCTTGACTATCTTCCTGTTTGTACTCATCACTGCTTGATGAACCAACACTAGTTCTCCGTTTTCTTTGTGGAACAGGTGAGTTTTCACTTTCGCTACTGTCTTCAACTGAATCATAAGGCTGTCTTCTTGTAGTTATGTCATCAACAAACTCAGACTTTTCTTCATGGTCCTTTCTGGAAGGAATGTCTTGTTGGCTCTCTTTTTTAAAAGTGTCTTTTTCTTTTTGACTCTCTTTGAGCTCTTCTTCTGCAATTGGTGTTTCAGAAAAACTTTGAGTTTTCTGTTGGTCCTTAGGCTCCTCAGGAGAAACCACAAGGGGCTCTGTTTTCTTTTCCGATTTTTCTTCAACAAGAGTACTTGCCTGAGCTTCCAAAATGGATAAGACTGTACTTTCTAACTTAGCCAAATCTGAGGGGCTGGAAGGGCTGCTTTCTTGTGAGAAAGAGTCCTTTTTGAGTCCTTTGAGCAAATCCTTTTCATCACTTGGAATAAGACTAGGAATTTCACCAAGTGAACTTGATATTCCATCAGAAGAATATCCTGTGTCACTCAGACCTTGTGGGCTTTTCGGTTGCTGAGAACTTGAAGTGTCTGATTTGTCATCTTCCTTTTCCTAGCAGAGAGGAAAAGATACAGGAAAACTTAACATGGTTAAACTAATAACATGGCCTCTCCATTACTCCCAAATATTATGAACTGAGGAATTTTTTTAACTATATGCCAGCATTTAAAAAAAATCTTTGAATGGACACAAAAAATGAAAATAATTGATATATCTTGATTAAGGTTAGTTTTCATTTAACCTAAGTTTAATTAAATGTCAATTCTCAATGACATTTGATTTTATTCCATTAATACTCTATCCTTTTACACTTAAATACCATTTTCCTTCAAAAACATGATTATCTTTCTCAGTACATTTCCTTTGGTAAAGAGTTCAAATTGCTGAAGAAAAAATTTAATAAGTTTTCTATTAACATAACTAATACTTTTGGATTATGAGGACAGGCAAAGAAAAAAGAATCAGAGGATGGGCTTTGTACCTGGCTACGAGTTGTATGGGGTGTTGAAAATTTACTTAACAGAAATAAGCAAGTACCATGGCCATAACGATATTCATCTCACCTACCACAAAGGATTTTTTTTTGAGAGAGATTCAAACAAGGCACTGCCTTTTAAGACATTCTGAAAGATGTAAAATGCTATATTTACTTGGTACTGTTGTTAAAATTATTATTCTTTATCACTTGAAATGAATGTTTAGAAATTACAAACTTTGAAAAAGTTATGCAACAAGTGGTCTGACTCATCGCCTTAGCCAAAGAGAAATATCAGCTATTATTTTTGTAGAGTTGTTAATCACATTTGTCTTCAGCATCCCACCTTAAATATACATAATGAATATCACTTATAAATATCTTCTGATTTTCAAAATACTTGGAATTTTACTTTCACACTCAATCAGAGTCAGCTCCCTTCAACCAGTATAATAACTAACTTTTGTGATTAGGAACATGGGCTTTTCAGGGAGCTGGGTCATTTAGGAGACAAGCTACAGTCTTGATCTACTGTTTTCCTTGGGCTGTGATGAGGCCATGCCAGCAATTTGGTTTAAGAATCAGAGAGGCCTTAAATGAAAATGTTAAACACAGAGACTTTTTGCATAAGTCCAAATTAAAAATATCTGTAAGTAAAATGAAACCCAACTGCTCCAGTTAGTTTCTGTGTTTAAAGGAGAGTGTCAAAATAATACCACAGCCCTATGGAATGAAGAGTTCAGAAGGGAGCTGCAAGAGGACCTGCTCTATCTGACATTGGCCTATGAGGCCATCTCAACTCTACTATGTCAGTATCTTGAACCAACCATCTCAATACTTCCAGTGGGTGTTTACGCATGGGTTCCTCCAACCTATATATAGCCTAAATGAGCAGATGTCAGGTTGCACAACAAACAATAAACATGCAAAAACATCCTTCTTCCTTCTTTCTTTCATTCCTACCTTCCTTCCTTCCCTCCTTCCTTTTCTCCTTTTCCTCCCCTTCCTCTTCCTTCTTCTTTTAGCTATAGAGTTCTCAACAATAAACATTGTTGGCTTGATACTCATTTTCATCTCCATATCTCTCTTATTATTATGTATGGTTAGAGATATATCTTGAGCATATGATAGGATAAAATGCTTTTGCTGAATTTACAACATGACTTGACTCAAAAGACAGCCTGATATATTCTTCAAGTTAGTGCAAAAAGCAATGCCTAATCCTTGTTTTACTAAGAATTAACTTTCTTGGACCACTTCAGACGTATTTCCAGGAAAGGACCACCTAATTGCAGTTGTGAGATTATAGTAGTGAGCACCTAACTAACTTTAGTTCTTTTCTCTTAAGAACTACACATTGGAGAGGAAAGCAAAGGTAAAGTAGTCTTTTAAGAAAATCTTTCTGGATGGTCACAGTGGAGAGATATTTCCATTTCCTCACATCCCACACAATGCCAGAGCAGGTTTTTTTGAGCCCAATATGCTTTCTATGTCTTTCCTTGTCTGCCTTCCCACCCTTCACTAAATCACAGTAAACACCATAACCATAGGGGTGGGGTTCCTAAGCTCCTCGTGAAAAAAAGGTCAAGAAAATGATCTTTCATAATCAAATCTTGATAGGATCATTTGCATTCTTTATTTTGTGTTTGCATAAATTATAAACATAATGCAATAAAACTATTGTTTTATATAACCATATAAATGTAACTATTGTTATATACAACAATTCATTGAGAATAAGAAAAGAGAAATTTTAATTTTATAAAATGGATTCTGAAGGTCCTGCTGACATTTTACAAAATAAGATTAGGACCAGACATACAAAACGTAACAAAGGAAATTAAGATAAATTAGACAGAAGACTAACACACAAAAATATCAAAATACCTACCCTATAATTACCCTCATGTGGCCTTTCTCCATGTGCTCATGCTTTCCTTCTTTCCTCAGTAATATGTTCTATGTACTTCTGCCCCCTGCTACTGTCTTCCTGGTCTCTTTCCTTCACACTCCTCACAGGATTCAATCATTATTTACTGGTGATGAATTTTCTCCCTAAATGACTCTTCCTCTCCATATTATGAGGTGGTAAAAGTCTACAGAGATTTTGTTCTACAGGCTTGTGGGTCTAAGATAGAATGTTTAGAGTGGTTAATACAAGGAAATCAAATTAGCTGACCAAAGGGCATTTTGCTAAACTGTTCAGAAGGAACAGTTGGTCATATTTATTGTACCATGATATATTGAAAAAATTCATAATGTCAACTATTCTCATACTAACTAGCATAGGTGTAAAGTACCCTGACAGTGGCAAGTGACGTTCTACTTCTGCATTACATTGGTAAGTTGTTAACCACCAGATCACACACAAACCAGGCCCTTTGCCTCTTTAATATAAGGCACCAAATATTCATCTTTGCACCTGCTGCTGCTAAAATTAAAAAAAAAAATTGTTCTTCATATACAGAGATCAGCATACAGAGGTAGACATCTATCCATCCACTTATCCTTCCTGTGGCTATCCATTCTCCATTGTGAGATATCTGGGTGAGAATACTTATACAATTTCTACCTATGCAAATTAACTGGTCTATATAGATTTAACATTGCAAACACTTGCTTCATGAATAACATTTCTGAACAAGGGAATAATTGGATCAAATAAGAAAAAGTATATGGAACTGAGAAGAAGGGAAAACTCAGTGTTGGATCTGGTTTTCTCTAATTATTCAATCTTCAAATGGATGTCTGAAGTTGAGCTTATTTTCTCCCAAATATCTAAGTCACTAGGACAAAAGAGTTGGAATTTTCTCTCAGTTGCTTAAAAAAATGTGTGGTTGTATACTTATTTTTGAGAAGAATACTAAGCTATTTAGTAACATATTAAGATTTAATGAATAGATTCAAATGGTTCTTTCTAAATTACATATATATATCATATATAACATAAATATGTGTGTATAAATATCACTGCATTTTCTTATTTATTTATTATATTTTTCACTTGAATAGATAACCAGAAGTTGAATTAATTATTCATTTCATTTTTTACATGTAATACAATCTAGAATGACCTCTGAAATTGTTACATAAGAATAAAATCCCAGGTATCTATCCTTTGCATGAAAATTTTGTTTGTCATCCTAGATGGAGGCAGTGAGTGGGAACAGCCATCATTTAAATATACTTTTCTTTTCAATAGCAATGTTATTTTTCAGTTCCCCTGAGGAACATATTTTCCCTGTATTATTCTAAGTACATTTAGCATTAAGCTCTATTACACTGACTTTTAATTTTATTATGTATTGCATTTTTCTTATGTATAGAATTATGGCTACTTGAGCCTTTCTCGTCTTGTGTATACGAAATGATTATTCAAATTTTCCAGAGGTTAAGATCCATATTTTTTTACTTACTAACAAAAGCAGAGAGTGGAGAATTTGTTTTCCTTTCAATATTCCACTGTCATTTATTGACCTAGAGACCAGTCAGAGAAGGGCAGTAATGAATTGAGATCCATTTGGAACTCTTCCCATGGTGTCATATCTTGAGGCCTTCTCTAACAGTGGACAACATACAAAGGCAAATCTGCACTGTCGAACTTAGTTCTGCCCCTTTCACAAATGTTGAAACTTTTAGCCTTCCAGGTTGAAGATAAATGGAAGTTTTTTGAATATTATTGGGGTTAAGAACTAAATTCTCGGTTAAACATAAGATTGCACAAAGAAAGGATGCAATATTAAGTTTTTGCTTAATTTTTCTCAAGTCATTTATTTTTATGGGCCAAAGTAAAACAACAAATGAATGATATTTAATCATTTATATAACGTTTAGGTCAAAATAAATTGCTAGTCTGAGGTGCCAAACACTTTGAATAAGATTAAGTCTATAAAATTCACTGGGCCTGGAGGAAAAAGTCAGATAGTCTCACTTACATGGGAATCTTTTTCACTACAGAAAGCTTCATTATTTTTCATCCTATCTGATTATGCTGCCATTATATACAATGGCTATATAAAACTCGAATACTAACCCTGGGTCATTTTAACCAGAAATAAAAGCTTATGCTAAAGGATATTCAAATTTTGGATTTTATCAGGAAAGATATAGTGTTTCAATGTAATATAGCAAATGTAGACAAGATGTTGTTTAAGTATATAAGCCAAAAAGAGAGAATTCTGTAGCATCATAAAATCTTAAAATATTAAACTAAAAAAGTAAAGAAGAATGTACCTTTCAAATTATTCATTATATTTCAGGATTTTAATTTCCATTTGTGGAACACATTTTGAAAGATAGGAATGACAGAGACAAAATGATGTGACAACAAAGAAATGTAAACAATGTACTATAATGATATGAATGACACAAATGACAAATAATATAAATATATAAACAAAGTAAAAATTACATAGACTGTTTGGCGTTGTAGTGGGAGCTGCTAAGAGAGACAAATAATTAAAATAATGCAAAGGCAGCATGCTAAAAGTGTCATAGGAAAGAAGCAGTACAAGTGGTGTTTGAGAGCCCAGCCTTTATAATCAGAACTGGACTATAATCTTAGCTGTGCTGCTTC